ATGTGCACCTCTGCCTACCCCTTCAGGGATAAAAGGCGTGTTGTTATGTTATTTTATTTTAAAGTTAAAATTGATTATGCTAGGTATGGCTTTAAATCATTTAGTAAAGTATAGTGTTTGCGCTAAAAACCACAAAAGTAATGAGAAAAGAGAAAAACGACTTACCAAATAAATAAATGTCATTCAAAATCTAATTAAAAATGTTAACTCCTTGCTAGACAATTAAATGGGGATAAATTCTTTAGTAGACAAAGGAAATAAGAAACAAAAACAAAGGATTCTGTCAACTTGGTATTATGCCAACTTTGCCTGAATATTTCTTTTATCTTTATAAGCATTTTAGTTTAATAAATATTCATGGGTAATGATTTAAACACAGTTTTGCGTAAAAGGCTTTGAGACTTATAGTTGTCCAGTATCCAAAAATGTTGAGAAATACCTACTTATAGTATTCAGCTTTTCAACAGTCCATCAACAAATTGGTTTATTGCTACGAAAACGTAGCAGTCTACGTAGTAGTAGCTACGCCGTAGCAAAAGCGAGTATTTAAAGTTTCGATGTAGAACAATTTCTTAAGAAATATTCTTCTGCTTGAATATATTCGAGGAAAGATAACAGCCTTAAGAATGTTGAGTATGACCTTGAACATAAAGTTAATTATCACCAACAGAAAAATGTTAAACTATCAATTAAGTTCCATACTCAGTTATTTCATAAACTAACCTGCTAAAATAAAGCCTAGTGGGACACACTAGACAAACCGCAGAAATTGAAGACAAATCTGTCGTATACTTAGGTCCTGTCGCGGAGAAACTAACGGGTAACCGGGGCTCCGGCTCAACGTGCAGGAGAAAGAACGGGGTGGTTTTTAGTCAGTAAGAGTCTGACTCCCTCCCGCCTCACCCAGGCGGGAACAGTCATTCGATGATTTTCCCCCCTTAAAAAAAAACTTAGGTCCTATACCCGTTACCCATATATTTAATTTTTAACAGGTAACTCTTCACAAAGCGTTAACTAGTAAATTAAATGTGCGACAGTCATTAAGTTTAATAACTTTCTGTATTTTTCGATGTCTCAAACATTTTTCACGTACATTTAATACCGATGTTGGGCTAATAAAAATTAAAGGCTCCACGGAGACATTTGCTCGCACTAGTGTTGTGCCCTTGGCAGTAAAAGGGCAATATTTGTTTTAGTGGTACGGCTACCTGCCGTTATCCGACTCTTGCGGCTTTTGAACAAGCAAACTTGAGGTGAATAATGTTAGATAGGATAC